TATCAGGTGTGTTGGAGCAGAGAAGCAAGTAAAACATGCAGGGCTGCGGCCCTCCAGGACCAGGATTGCCCACCCCTGGATTAGGTGTTTCTTCATATCGTTAGCCTACTTTTCTAGCATCAAACCTTCTTTTATTTASGTTCAKGAACTTGCTGTTGTTACCGAGGTCTTCAGAAGACTTGGGAATAATAACGGCCGGCAGATTATATTTAATATGTTCTAATGAAGATGCCGCCATTGTCGGGCCCAGCATCTTCATTATTTCTGCTTCTCTTAAAAAACTCCTGGTTATATTTCAAAAATAAGAGCAACATCAGTCTGTAGCGGATATTTTTTTTGGAGGGGGGATATTTAGAAATAGGGAGAACTAAATGTTTGATGTTAATGGTACATTGCGATTGGATTGAAAAAAAAAACAATTAGTTTTGTTTGCTAAAATTAATGTGAAAGTAGTTAAAGTCAAATGTGAAAGAAAAACAAAAGAGGGAAAAACAACTTTTTTGAAAAATTCAATTCTATTGAAAAATGTTTTATTGATCCGGGACCAAATATGAAGTTGTTTTTCACAGAGAGAATCAGGCAGAGCTTTCTGAACTGAAGAACTCGATGAACCGGTCACTTCAGAGTTACAGAAAAACAGAGCAAATACAAGTAGCCTATCAGTGTTTACGCTCGGGGAAACAACTATGCTGAGTCTGAAGAAAACCCCTTCCCAGTGCCACCCCCCCAAAAAATTGACAAGTGTGTGGGGATCTTGGATTTATATTACGTTAAAGATAGATAATTTAGCTGTGTATGTTTTAAAATGGTTGAGGTATAAATCTTTGGAAAAATTAGTATTAGATCTGGGCAGTTCATACCAAAAAACATTTTTTGTTTTCATTATTATATGAATTTTCCAAATACTAACCTACCAGTTAAAATAGCTTGAACAAGTTACGTTGTTTAAAATGAACGTGTACATTTTAACATCACCTGAGCTGTGGTGAAAAGAGAAACAAGTCAAATAATCTGATATTTGTTGAAAATACTGTGATGTAAAATTTGGGTCACTTATTAGCATTCTCGTTAGAGGTTAGCTTAATATGGTATTAGCATTGGCAGYAGGCGTGTGATCGATCTAAACAAATCACAACAAACAAAACCACAACAAATTTCGTCTCACATAATTCTGGCCTTTTAAAGATTAGCCGTGGCGGCCATCTTGAATGTTTGATCAGCATGAGTTGAGTAAAAATTATTTTCGGCTACTTCTAATGCTAATCTTCAGCTTTGTTTTTGTTAGGATCGTTCTTAGCTATGATCAAACAAAACTTCGGCTCTGTGTATTTTAAAAAAAGCTGAATTAAAGGTTTTTAGAATTAGCTGCAGCGGCCWTCTTGAATTTCTAAACTCGGAGTGCTTATTTTGATTTGTATGTGCCACCCCATGCAAAAAGGTCTAGCTCCGCCCCTGAATGAAAGACATTATTTATTCTTTAGTACGGCCCTTAAGTCGTTTTGTTTTGTAGTACTTTCTAAAGTAAAGCTGGTGTGGATTTTAAATATTTCTGGTGATCTGTAGACGGTCAGTTTTTCCGAGGAGACGAAGGACGACATTAACTTGGACTTGCTCGACGACGTTGCTTTGTGCCAAATTCAGAAGCTTTCGGTAACTGAGCTCATCTTGTTTTAACACTGTTTGACTCAAGAACTTAATAAAAAATTAAATGTATTATTAATGTTTTTTTCACTTTGCAGAGACTGATGGATTATCTGACACAACAGAGTCGCTGCCAGCGATGAGACAAGATCTCCATATTGATCCTCCCGTTGGACAGAATACATATTAGATGCTTAAATATTATGAACTTGTTATAGTAAAAACTAGTGTTTTTAGAGTAGTAAAGCTTGCAGTATAATCACCATTAAGTATTCAGTTTTAACATAAAATGAAGTTTCTGAACATGTGATGTGTTTTGARTCGTACTTGCCTATGTTAGTTTATGTAAAAACGGAAGTCTTGATTCAGATTTAGTTATGAAACATGTTGGTCACAAAGTTTTTTAATAATTTCATTGATGGTTTCAATAAACTTTATAAAGAAGACAGATAAGAGTTGGCCTCATTACCTTTTATAAATGTCATTAAAAGCAAAAAAAAAAGAAGTAACTTTAGCACAAATGAAGACATGTTTGATAATAAATCATTTAACAGGATTAAAGTGAAATTAGTCAGAAAATAAACGTCTTTAATCCAGACTCTGCTGCTTCTGGGAGCACAGAGACTCCATCTCCACGGGCTCCTCAGGGTGCAGCAGAGCCAGCGCAGAGTCTGACGGCACCATGCGCGGGTAGAACGGACCCACCAGCCAGTTGAGCGGCGTGTTGTTGACCAGGTAGTCCATGACCCTGTCCAGAGAGTCCTTCATCCTGCCCAGCCGGACCCTGCTGGCGGTCAACGCGCCGTCCGGCACGTCTCCCAGCACCTCGGCCCGGCTGAAGCTGGCGTACGTCTGCGCTGCCAAGCGGCTGAGGGACAGCGCCTCCTGCTGGACGTGGCCGGGGATTCCCTGCAGGCCCGAGACCAGGACCAGGCAGGTGGTCTGCAGCTGCTGGGTGAGGGAACGAGCCAGAGCTAAGGTGCGAGACTCGATTACCTGAAACAGACGAAACAAACTGTTTTCAGACCTCATTTCATAGTAAATATTTATCTAAATAACTGAAGTATGTGTGTGTATGTAATGTATATGGTGCTGGTGTGTGTTGAGTGTGTATATGAAAATGTGTAGGGATGTCCGATAATATCGGCCTACATATATTATCGGTAAGATATTAGCATAAAAATGTAAAATCTCTACATATCATCTGTTTTTCTTCTGATAACAAAAACCCGATAAATTAACACCTGGATTTGTTGATCAAAAGGTGTTAATAAATGTTTGTGGTCCAGACAGGTTCACCGGTGTGCGATTGATGACATCATCAAACTGGATTAACTCAGGGAGAGCGTGATCCAAACTATCGTTTGGGACAAAATATTAAAAATAAATAAGGTACTTTTTCCCTAACATCAGTTAAATGGTTTTTATTTTAAAATGTTTCCTTATGGAGTGCATCCAGTGTGGTATCAAAAAGCATAATGTCCCTGACAGAAGATATATGATGTCACCTTAACATCGGTTTGTAATATCTGTTAATATCAGAATCAGAAATTAAGTGTTGAACAATATCGGCAAAAAGTATCAAGCATCTCTAAAAATGTGTAAAGATATGTTTTGTTTTGACTAAGAAATTTTTATTTTCTTTTTATTGTAAATATAATTTTATTGGACCATCGTTGAGAATAGCTGTAGTTTTACTGCAGCTAATTGGAGATCTTAATAAACAAACAATAGAAATGTTTATAATGTTGCTTTTCTTTTACTTGTTCAAATGTAAAGAAGTGTTCAAAGTCCGTACACCTTTTGCTCATTTGTTTTTCATTTTAAAAACATTTTATTTTTTTCATTTCATACTCCGAAAACCTAAAAAAATGGCCCGTGTTTTTGTCAGAAATAAAAACACGGGCTGTTTTCCTGTTTTTAAGAGTATAAAATACARATATRACTGTTTTTCAATATCTGATTTTAAAATTAGGGGTGCACGATATCTGTATTAATATCGATATTGGTCATTTTTTAGAATATAGGTATCGGTCCGATATGTAAAACTGCACCGATATTAACGCCTGATATTGATTTTACACTTTTTAGCTTGTGTTTCTGRTTTAGGAGGGGAGATGTTTGGTTGAGCAGCATCTGTTTGATCATGATAGTGATATTGATGCTGCACAGACAGGAATAACTGTAGGGAGCCWTGTCCGAGGTCTGGTTGTTTATTTATGGCATCAAAAAAAGACCCAAGTGTGTTTGTGTGTATATGTATAATATAATTTGTGTGTTTGTGTAATATCGGTTATTGACCATAACAGCAATAATTATATTGGATATTGATATCGGCTGAAATTTTCATATCGGTGCATCCCTATTTAAAYGAAAAACAAACTACCATAAAAGTACACGGAGCGTTTTATTTAGGCCAGAAATAAATTTTCTTTGCCCCTCGCTGTCRCTCTTTTTGTCCCAAATGACTCCAGAAACTGCCTGGACTCTGGACAGTTGACCTCTTGTGACCTGTGTGACCCCCTGCCTCCCTGTGTTTTTGTCCTTTTGTCTCATCTCACCAGGCTCAGGACACACTGGCTTCCTATTGGCTGGTTGATTTCTACGTGACGTTTACCTCTGCTTGGTGACCGTTCTGCTGAGTCGGACTGGACTTCCACGACACCAGTGAGGTCAGCTGCTTGTTCACCATCTGGTTGGCACTGTTGATGTTCTTCCTGCTGAATTCAATCTAAAGAAAATATGATTTTTATTAGTTGTTTGTATCCCGAGGCAGTAAATGATGAGGTGTTGATGTGAGGGACCCACCAGGTCAACGGTGGAGTTGAGCTCAGAAATCAGGCCCAGGCTGCGCTGTTTGCCGGCTCGTATCCTGGCCACGGCCCGGGTGTACGCTCTCCTGCGCAGCTTGGCGGAGAGGCAGCCCAGACGCACGTAGTAGCTCTGCTGCTYGCCAGAGCCTCCCTCATCTTTCTCCTCCGGCTCTGTCACAAGATCAAGCACCAAATAAAACCCTMTTTTCCCAAACTTTGATAAATCTAGTTGTGAAAACTTGACAAGCTTTTAATAATAACGTGAGAAACTGTTTTCTTTTCCCCAAATGTGGGAGAAGTCTGAACTGCAGCTCTTTGTGTGAGCAGGAACAAACAAGCTGCTAATGTGAATTCAGATTCTAAAAATCCATAATCGGATAAGTCCTGATTTCTGAGAAACAACAACAACAACACACACACAAGTTTGCACAGCTATCCAACTGGGGACATTCCATTGACTTCCATTACATTTCTACAGCCTAACCCTGACCACAAACCCT